CATACATTATGAACTTATGAAAGAACATTGTTCAGTATCAAAAAACAGTAATACAATCTCTCTGCTACCTGAAACATCCTGACAAATACAAAGAAAAAATAATCTGCAGCCTGAGAAGCCTCAAGACAGACAGGGTCATTTGGAGCTTTTTAAAGAAACTTTGAGTAGATAACAGCCGACATCATATACAGCCCTAAGGCACATAGAACAGAAATCAAAATCTTCAAAACCACTTCCAAGGTGATGCTAATAAGGCCATTCACTGCCAGCTCAATGAGTCACATCTTGACCATAAGAGGAAGCTTAATCCTTCGATTTGTCACTCGGCATGGTAAGATTTTCTCAGTTTGATTCCAAGAAAGTGAACATCTATTCCTGCAGAGAAACATATACACTTTATGAGTAGAACTGACTTGGAGTTATTAAAAAAGTGTCTTCTCCTTAGGATTTGTCAAAAATTCAGAAACACGTTTCTCAAGTCGTGCTTGAAAACTATAATTATTTTTAAAGCATGTTTGTGCTTTCTGGCTTAAAAATTCCTCTTGTGGACAACAAAAAAAAATCTCTGTGCTAACACAAACCTACCTTTTTAGTCTTGCAATTATCTCCACAGTTTTGCCCTTTCAGTCTCATTAAGTCTGGGAAAGCCTTTCAAGTTTTAAAACAATACAGCTGTACTGACACCTTCCCATCTGCTCTATAGGTAGAGTCATCCTGAGATATCTACAACGTTTTCTGCTGTTTGATTTAGTCTGCAAGATTTCTAAATATTACAGTGAAACAAAGGTTAGTATTTAGGTTGCCCCATACTAAACTCTGTGTTTCACTTCAGTTTTGCAGTACCAGTCCACATAATTTGAAATAGGAAATCACCTTTGGCCAGAAAAGGTATTTTCATGACAGCAAAACCAGTGGCCTCAGAGAAGAAACATGCAGAAAATAAGTGTATCTGTTCCCTGAGAAGGTACCATCTAAATTAGCAGTCATGGAGCAGAGATTCGATTCCCTCTTGAGAAAGGTAGTGATACAGATGCTGCACTAATTTCAAGTTTTAAACTAATTTCAAGCTTTAAAGAGCATTGAGCTCTTCCAAGACAGACATGTTACTTTTTTTCATTTCAGCATTAGCGCTAGTTAGCAATCACCTTAGTAATGATCAGGAGCTACTTACCACATTAAGAAGTGTAGATGGTACCCATTTCCTGAAAGCACAGAATTTCAGTGTCACGATGTGATCTTAATACCTATGAGTTCAAATCCAACTGGTAAGATCTTGCGTGTGTTTTAAAGACGGACAAAAAGAGACAGAAACATTTTTACTAGGAGATAACACGGAGATCTGCATTGATAACTATGCAAAGTGGCACTTAAGCTGGCATGGATCATGCCTTAGTGACGTTCTGCTCATCGTGGAAGAGAAGACACGTCAAGAGCTCTAGCTCTTAAGATTCAGAACATGCAAAATACTCTGCTGCTGTCAAAAGCATCATCTCTCTTGTTCTTGTGAAGCTACTGCTAAATTGGGTTTAAATGAACTGTAAGATATGTACTTGCTACAAGTGTGAGAAAAGAATCATTACAAAAATGCAAAAATCTCTTTGTAGATTTATTTGGTTATATTTCATTACAGTCTACAAAGAAAAAAAAATAAGAAGCTGGCAACGCTGGCTGAGTTAAAGACACCTTCTGAGAACACTTGGATGATCTTGCTATTCCAATCAGACACACAGAAAAATTAGCATTTATAGATCAGCGCACATCTGAGCTTTACCTGATTTCTCATTCTAAAAGAGCCATGCTATTTAAATTACTCACAGATGTGAGGTGAACACAGACAGGATCTGAAGGAAACATATGCAATATCTCATCATAAAATAACAGAAGAAAAATTACAATCTTGGATTTTAGCAGCTTCCTTGTAATTCAAGAACAGAAGTTAAAAAAAAAATACACTAGATAAGGTGTTTGGGGCAATTAGTTACCAAGTTTCCAGTTCTGCTGAAATACTAAACATAACTACCTGCAAGGCTTAAAAGCTGCTTTACTATGAAGAGAGTGAGTGTATGAAAGTGCATTTTATCTATTTTTTTTAATCATTTTTGGTGAATGATGTTTCACAAACCTGAAATGATTTTCTTAGATCCTTTGAAATGTCTCCCAAAACACATCCTGATCTATGCACAGTTTAAACTGTAAGAGCTACAAAGATTCAACAATTCCTAATCAGAACAAGTTCCTCAACATTTCAGTTTGCCTCCCAGGTTGGAGGAAATTAAATTGAATTCAGAAGAGAGTGACACAGCTCAGCTTAGATCATGAACCTTGGTGCAAGGCATGAATCCTTGGTAAAAGGCAAAATAAGTATTTCTACTTACATACTTTTAGATATAAACATCTGAAATGTGGTTAAGGCTCACTTTGAAAGAGTAAAATCTCATGAGATGCTGTAATCACTTTTCACTGCCCAAATCCTGTTAAAGATTAAAAACTTAAAGAAAAAAAAATAAAAAAAAAATAAAGCGTTAATGCTAACGCTTTAGCAACGTTGGCAAATAGTTATCCAGGAGTCAAAAAAATAATTGCTGATGTGCTTGAGTGACATGTACATCACCGAAATAAAACTCGGCAGGTAAGAGCCAAATGCCTGTAAGGAAGTCTACTTTCCCCAGGGGCAGTCGGTTCTTCTGAGTTACACCTGCTTCCCAAGGACAATAAATGCCTGGGCAAGCTCTTCTGCCTAAAGAACAGCAAAACTATATTCAGAAGAAAAAAATTCTTACAAAGGAGAATTTAAGCTCCCCTCCTTCACCTTTTGGCTGGGAAGGTCCCTGCAGGGAGGGAGAGGAAGAAACTGAGTCACAAACGTCACACAACCAAACCACATAAACCTAAATGGAAAATGAGGCAATGAAATGCACATGATTTCCTTAGCCAACAAGCCTTTCTGTATTTTTTTTTAATCAAAACTTTTTTTTCCCTGAATGGTACCTATGTGTTTATTTCCTGAATGAAGACAAAATGTTTTAATTGGATTTAAAAAAGCATACATATTGGTAATCTTAATATGCAAGATTGCTACATTTGAGTAAGCTTTGGGCCACAGCAGAACTGCTCCCTGTTCACATTCACAGTGACTGAACATACCTAAGTGTCTATTGCTCAGAGGAGTCAAGATATTGCTGCTTTACCAGCTCCTTGCCACAACTACTTTTCATTTCAAGGTTTCTCTTTGCTAAACTTGACCTAAAGCGGATCAATTTTGTACCTGAGCAGACGTAGCAAGCCCCTCTGGCCCATTTAACTGGCACAGTAAGGCCTCAAAGCACTGCGGCCCTTTCTGCAACACTCATCTCACAGAAGCCTGCGAAGCTCTGAGACTTGCAGTTACATTCCTCAAGACTGAAGTCAGATACTCTGTTAGTAAGTAATTAGAGGTGCTGAAGTACTACGTGATAATAAGGCTGGGGTAAGTTCTTGAAACTCCAGTTGTTCTCCTCTGCAGTTTGAATTCCAATGAGAAAGCAACATCTGAATAAAAAGTCCCAGCTATTCTTGGCACTAGGACAATTCCATCCGCAGGGTAATTCCAGGAGAGTATTCTGTAGCGGATTTGTACTGGAAAAAAGGAGAGATAATTAGACTGGAAACACTTGGCATACAATAATCTGTAATCAGTGCATACAGAGAAACAGATTACC